CTCTCTTCAATACTTAGAACGATCCGTAAATGCTGTTCGTGTTCTGCTGGTGACTTGGAATATACTAAGATATCATCAATGAAAATCACTACAAATTGATCTAGATGTGGCCAAAGATCCTGTTTATCTAATCCATGAAAATCGCAGGGCATTCGTTAATCCAAAGGGCATTACCAAGAATTCGTAGTACCCATACCATGTTCTAAAGGCGGTCTTTTGGAATATCCTCTGTTTTAATCCTCAGTTGATGGTAACCTGATCTCAAGTCAATCTTGGAGAACACTATGGCACCAGCTAGTTGGTCTAGCAATTGTCTATTTTAGGTGGGTGCTTGTTTTTAATCATCATTTTTTTGTTGAGCTCCCGTAATCAATGCATAACCTTAGGCTACTGTCCTTCTTATGGATGAACAAGAGGGGTGCTCCCCATGGTGAACATTGGGCCAGATAAAAATTCTTTTCTAATAGCTCCTCTAACTGCTTCTTTAATTCTGCCATTTCATTTGGAGTCATAAGATAAGGGGCTTTGGAAATTGACCCTGCTCCAGGTATCAGGTCAACTGCAACTCTACTCTACCTCTCGCTCCAGAGGCAACCTGCTAATTTCTGTTAAAAAGACTTCTGGAAAATTGCATGCCACGAGTATCTCTGCTATGCCTTCTTCTTCTACTTCCGCATGTATAGAGAAGAATACCACGTACCCCTGACAACCACATCTTAGGCAATCCCCGGCTTGGGCTCCCGTGATCAAGTTCAGTTTTATCTCGGTATGAGGAGGTTAGCTCATAGGGAGGAAAGATCAAAGTTCTATTTTTACAGTCAAGGAGTATACTATGGGTAGACAGCCAATTCAGACCAAGTATCACATCAATCTTATGAAAAGCCATACATATCAGGTCAAGTGTAGTGCAATAGTGGACATACTAGACAATACAATTCAGGCAAACATCAGATGTATAAACTTTAGTGCCTATAGGAGTAGCCACACATAGATCATATAATAATGTGTTAACAGCGAGACCTATACGCTTTGCGTATTCCCATGCAATAAAGGAGTGGCTAGTACCCGAGTCAAACATAGCATGCACAAGGTAATTGTTAACTTGAATCGTACCTTGTATCATCTCAGGTGACTTATCAGCCTCTTCCTTTGTGAGGGCAAAATCCCTCCTTTGAGCCTGGGGCCTCGAGCCGTCCACATTAAGAGGGCAATCCCTTGTATAGTGTCCTAGCTTGCTGCATCAGAAGCACACATTTTGACCCATCAAACATGGTCGATCTCTGTGGTTTTTACCACAGGTACTGCATTCCTTAGTCTGGCGTATAGTGTGCTTCCTCCTTACCTTACTCCTCAACCTTGCTTAGACTTCTTGGAAAACATAGGTTTTGCCTCTTCCTATTTCCTTCAGAAGAAGTCCCCTCTGGTCCACCCCTTGTTGCTGGTCCTTTTGGTCTAGGAGAAGTCTTGACTAGCGCCTGCTGGTTCAGGCTACTTTCAGTAATCTAGCAGGCTTCCACTGCCGAATTGAACTTTTCAAGTTGTCATGGGGCTACCTTCTCCCTTAGCTCCTGCCTTAGTCCCCTTACCATTTTCTCTGTTTTCCACCGCTCATCATTGCGGAGTTGGAAGTAGTTAGAGTAACGAGAGAGCCTCATGTACCTGTCTAGGCACTCATCGAAGGACTGTCGAGGACCTTGTTGAATCATCAGAAATTCCACCTCCTTTTTCATCTCTTACTGACAGTGGGAAGTATTTCAAATTAAAGTGTTCCTTGAACACTTCCCAGGTAATAGGAGTTGTATTCTCCTGGAGGATCATCTCAGTGTTCTTCCACCAGTGATCAACTTCGCCCTCTAGTTTATAGATAGCTATCTGAGCTTTTCTCTCAGAGGAACATTCAAGAACATTAAAGATCTTCTCTAGCCAAATAATCCAATCCTCGGCCACTTGGACATTCAATGTCCCCTGTCAAGCCCCTAATGAAAAGGATTTAAAGCTTTCCAAGTGTCAAGCCTTAAGTGGAAAAGAGTTTGACTTTTGGAAATTAATTACAATTGGAATTAAGTGATTAAGAGGGAAATTTCAAGAAAGAGTAGGCTTTTGACACTTGACTTCTCATTAATGCTAGTAGGTGAGATATTTTGTGCACATTAAATGAGTAATCCTCCCCCTAAATCAGATGCTAGTTTTGTCCAAGAGCAAACCAAGAGGGAAGAGAGAGAGTTCAAGGAGAAATCAAGAGAAAAGGCACCAACTTTGATCATGCAACCAAGATCTAAGGTTAGTTTTTGGTTCTAAGTTGTTCTTTGCCTTGTGGCTTAAGTTATATGGTTGAAATTTCTGGCTTTCTTCCTTCTAGTGCTGGCTGAAATGTATAATAAGTAAGGGAGGAAGTTTTATGGTTTAATCTTGCTAGAACACTTCAAAGCATGTTAGATCCTAGTGGTTACAAGAGTTTGTAGGTTGATTTTGAAGTATTTTCTTTGTTATGTTGCATTGCCCAAAGCATGATCTAGGCCCTAGGATGTTTTTTTCAAAGTTTTGAGGCTTCTATTGTGTTCAAAATGAAAAATGGTGTAGGGTAAACCTAAAGAACAAGCGTTGGAAGCCATAGAATCAAAGTTGCAATTTTTAGATTTTGAACCCTAATGGTTCGGCCAAGCTGAAACTGAAAGAAGGGATTTTATTTTGTTAAATCTAAGTATATATTTGTAATCTACATGAAAAATCATGTAGGAATGAGTCAAGAGGGAATATTTAGGGTTTAAGGAAACAAACTCTAAAATTAAAGAACAAAGGTGGATGCTTAAGGGACAAAAGATGTCCCTGATTTATGTTGTTGATTTTTATAAGGAATGGTTGATGATTCTTGCTGCCTTTTTTATGGATTTCCATGTTAGGGTTTAGCATTTGTGGGAAACAAGAAAGAAGAACAAGAAAATCAAAGAGCATTGGATTAAGGTAGTAAGATTTAATTGACCTTAATGTTGAGTGTTGTATTGATTGCTATGCAATTTCATGTGCTATTATGTGGTTGAACTAGATGATGATGATGATGATGATAATTGTGTAGCTATACTCCTTGCTTTACGTGCCTTGGCTATTGCATGTTAGAATGCTACATGTATAAGGTAAAGTAGTTCCCTATTAATAGCAAAAGGTTGGAATGCTTGTAATTAATGCATATTAATGTTTTGGTTGATTGATCTTGCTATTGGAATTTCATTGAAATCTCATCCTCCATATGTAACCTAATATTTTAGGGACTGAATCATCAAAAGTGAGGCTGCAAATTGAAGTATTAATATGGTGATGAGCCATGAGGAAATATTTATATTTGGTTATGTGTAAGTATCTATGATTGGTGCTGTAATCCCTAAGCAGGATGTCAATTTAGAGCCACATTTCATTAAGTTACCGAATGAATTTCTGCACAAAATTTAGTATGCTTAAATTTGACGTCCTAAGCTTCAAATTGATAGGCAGCACATTAAAAAGGGCCAACTACATGATTTATAATGATTTTTCAAAATTAAGGTTCAGAATCTGGAAAAAGGATTTTTGCCAAATGGACAGAGGTGAATTTCACAAAAACCTGATACTTTTTCAAATGGAATTGGTTCATAAGATTATTTTTCCTTGAAAAATAATTCAAAGAGCTTTTTATAAAATTTTGAACCACTCCATTTTGATTTTTCTAGATTAAGTTATGAATTTTTAAAGTTGGGCCAGAAAATTGGATTTTTGCCTGATGAACAGTAAAAATCCGAAAATCAATGTTTTTCATGAATTTTTGAGCCCAAGACCATCCAATATGGTCTAAAATGGCTTAATTAAATCCTAAGTGGATCTGATAGTAAGGTATGACAACTGCGGCTGTTATGGCAGCATCACGTTCCTGATTTTGGCAGGCTTGGGCAGCCTGAATTTCTTGCATTACCTTTTGCTGTTCCTCTAGTCAGTCCATAACCAATTGAATCAGGTCAATGAGAGGTTCTCTTGCTGCCTCCCTTGGTTGTGATTCTCTTTAGGTTCTCCCCATTTTACTTAACCTTTTACTACAAGAGGAATAGAGGAATAAGATTATTACTTAGTCATCAAAATATTTTATACTAAGCTATGCTTCATATTTATACATAGATAGGTTTCAGGTATAAGCATTCAAAACATAGATCATCCAAGTCACATATACAGTCATCCACTCAAGACATGGGAGAGAAAGGAAAATAAGAAGTAACAAAAAGCTCGAGTTTGTCCAGGATCTGATCAAAGCTTTCATAGGTGCCTTGCTTGGAACGGTCACTAACCAACTAGATTTGATCCTGCCAAACAGGGGTCCTTGGCAAAGTCACTACTACAATGAAGGCTTTTTACTTCTGTTTTGGATGACTTTTTACGTCTGTTCTGTAGGGGACATGAAAAGAAGGGACATAAAAAGTACCCCCTTTTGACTTCTGTTTGGAACGGACGAGAATTCACGTCTGTTAATTTTAAAACAGACGTGAATTTACGTCTGTTTTTGGGACACAGACGTGAATTCACATCTGTTTTTCTCTAAACAGACGTGAATGTGCGCTGTTTTTTTTAAAAAAAGATTCAGTTCGTATATACTGCTTCTCCTACAGCCACAATAGCCATAATAGCCACTTTCCAGCAAGTTGAAATAGTATGAACCAGTCAATATTTTCAGCCAAGACATATCAACATCATAACTTCACTATATAGACACATTAATTAACTAACTAGTCAAAAAAGAAGAACAAATTACAAAAGTCAATATTGATCCTATTCTTGAAGCAGTTGCTGTGCCAAAAGGTCTCGGATGAAGTTAATGTCATCAATAGTATATGAACAATCATTATCAAAAATCTGTAAATTGACAAATAAACAAATTTAAACATAGGAAGAAAATAAAATAAGTAACAATTCAATTTAAAAATTCAACTATTACAAAACTAAAATTATATTTACTTACCTCATCAAATTTTGTAATACATCCACTCTCAATAATCTCAAACATATAACGGATAATGTAATATCCGCACTCTGTTGGCCCTTGTTGCTTAGCACACTACAAATCACAAGGAAATGATGATCCAAATTCATATATAAAATAACTGCCATCAATGAAAGAACTTCAATTTAAAGTACTCACACTAGGATATATCCAAGTTGTTGAGCCATTTTTCCCGGAACGCTTCCCACCGGTTATATAATAAGTCTTTAAAGCCCTATAAGCAAATGAAAGCACAAGTTAAACAATTTATATTGAAAACAAAATTATTGATCTACATTAAGGTACTTACGTGTTGAAAACGCCCCTCATCTCACTACTTGGACGACGACCCAAGGGATCAAACCAGTAGATGACATTGTCAATGGGTCAAGAAACACACAAACTCCAATGACAACTGCATCATAAAGTAAGACTTATACATTACTGGATATCACAATAATTCTTAACAATTTAAGTATGTATAAATAAATATAATTAAGCTACTTGCCCTTCAATAATTGGTGCTAAATAACAAGGTAATTTAGTGTCTCCAATCGTATTGCCCACATATCTGATTCTCCTATCTAGTGGGTTGTACTTCTTCTGGACACTTGCAGGGCATAAATATCCATACAAATTTCTCTTCTCCATTGATGACATGCATTTGTTATGGAAGAAGCTATCATTGAATTGAAATAAGATAATTATTAGTATGTGAAAGTAAGAAATTAGAAATTTAAGTTAGAAATGAAAAAGTAAACTTACATGATTGCTAATTGAACCCATGCTATGTCCAACTCCTTCAAGGATAACAAATCCCTGATGTCTTTGTTGTCAAGTCCAAAGAAATATGATTTTTCTTCACCCACAATCCCTAAAGGCATCTTTATGTCGACCATATTAATTGTTTTATATTCCTCATATAATTGTGCCAAGCAGGGATATCTATTAACATCTTTCTGGTCCTAATGAAACATCAAATAAACATAATAAGTATTGTAAGTATCATGTTAAAAAAATGCACACAGTATAGAATAACATTTTCTTACCATCACAGGTATTATCTCCTCATCAACAAGGTGTCTAGGCCAAAGAATGAAAGTTCCAATTGCCTGACCTAACTTCACAACTTCAGCAGTCGGGAATGGCACATCCGCACCTGTCTCTCCCTCTCGAACAGTCGTAACTGTAACCCTCACTTGGTCCTCTTGAATATGTTGGTGATGGATAGTGCTCCCTTGATTGTAGAGGAGAGCGTCAGCAACAACACGCATCCTTGGGACCTCTAAACGAAGACAACAAGGTTGTCCAAAGTCCAGCGTGGGACTACTAGGATCATGCTCTCCTAATGCCCCCGGTGGATTACAACTGTTTTTAGTGCTAGGAAAGACGGGGGAATCCTAAATGAGAGAAATGCAAGTATTAAATTAAATTAAAAAAATGTTGGTAAAACTCAACATTAATTTAAGTGAAATTGATTACAGACCTGGGGTGTGCATTGTTGTTGAACTGTCCCAATTTGCATGCTAGAGACTATAGATTTCATCTCATCACGAAGCTCAGCCATAAGCTCTTTTCGAAGTGACTGGCGTAACTGGGCCTCAATCTTGACCTCTAGCTCAGATTGGAGCTCATCACGAACTTGGTCTCGAAGTTTAGCTATCATCTCATCAGTGGGTTGACTTCGTAGAGAAGCTCGTGAAGTTTGTCCAAAATATTGGGTAAGACCAACTGTCCTCCCTTCTCCTCTAACGCGTCTTGGGTGATCAGGCTTCCCAATCGCTGTCGCTAAAATGTCCATCCTTCCACTCGGACTAAATGAACCTTCACTGCTTTGCTCTTCAAGTACCTCCTATAACATTTTAAGTATGATAAAAAATTAATGACAGTATAATAGAAAATTAATGATAAAATATAAGGAATATTACCATAAGTTAAAGTTATTTGATGTATACAACTTACAATTTTTTTAGCAATCTCAGCAACTGCTGGATTAATATATTGACCCTTCTTCATCCTTGCTTCCTTCCATTTTCTATGACGTGGAGGAGGAGGTGGGGTCTGAACAACGCTACTAGGATCAGATTTTGCAGCTTCCTGCATCGCCTTAAAGTCATCCTGCATGATCCTCTCCTCAAGCATCTTGTAACCTCCACGGGATAAATAGTGCAGATATAAATTTTTAGCTTGCCTTTCTTTATTCATCGCACTTAATTCCTATGGAAAAGAAAACAAAGTAAATTGAGTAAGTGAAGTAAATTAAATCAAAATTAAATGTTTTATAAGGCAATGTACCTGAAATTTAGGATCATGCCTGATGCCACAAACATCCTCCAATCATTTGGATCAAGGAAGGGGTATTTTTCGCACGGATCATCATCTTTCTTAGGCCCTCGCACATACTGGCTCGTGAGTGTGTGCTTAAAATCTTTCCAGCACCGACGAACTTGCTGCAACACATGCTTTTTCATTTGCTCAGTACAAGGGATGTCATACGTTTGCTGCAAAGAAAAAATATATATGTTTGAGTTAAAGATCTTAGTTGTAACATCCAAAGTTTTAGGCCTAGAAGTACCAGTAATAGCCTGAATTAGATAGGCTATCAGACCCCTGTGAGCAGAAGTCCCAAAGACGAGAAAGGAAGTTAAAGCAGTTTCAGGGACTAAACTGCAACGTAAAAGTTTTCAGGGGCTCGAATATAATTAAGGTTAGAGGCTCCAGTAAAGTCTCGAAGGCCCAAAAAGAGAAAAGAGGCTAGATACAGGCCAATGGGTAAGTTAGAAACCTCAAAGAGATGGTTCTATGAGGTTAGGCTTAAGCAGGGGTAAAACCGTAAATTCAAAAAGTTATGACCAGCGAGGGTAAAAATGGAAGAGTACGCAGAGAATTCCAAGAAAATCCTAGAAAATGGGAAATAATATTCTAAGGCTCTTCTATGAAGAAAAAAGATGAAAATGCCCCTGAGGCAGCTTCAATGGAATTTATGAGGTTATTACCGGTAAAAAGTATACCATGTGAGGTAATTATTTGAAATAGCAAGAGACCTCAAAAGTGTATACAAAAATGAGGTTAAAGGGTTGAAAGGTTGTACTAATTTATAAAATTGGTCCCGCAACCAAAAGGCCAGTAGAGTGGCTTTAAGAAATTAAAGAGCCGGTTTTGCCGATAAAAGGGTATTTTAGTAAATGAATTTTATGCAAGGCTTAAAGGAAGTGTTATGGGCTAAGAAAATTCAGAGATACTCTCTAAAATTAAAGAGAATTTATGGATCTGACAGAAAATAATTACAGAGGCCAGAGCACTGTAATTAGAGAAAAGAAGTTAAACCCGGAGTAAAAGTGCACCGATAAAGTATTAATCAGAGTCTTGCACTTTACTTGGGCCACAAGTCGCCACTTGTCAAGCCTTTAATGGATGTTAATTAAAGCTTTCCAAGTGTCAAGCTACCAATGGAGAGGATCTTGACTTTGGAATTTAATTACATTATGATTTAAGTTAATTAAGAGAGAGGATTAAGATTAAGTAGGCTAATGACACTTGGCATAACATTAATGATGGTTGGTGGGATATTTTGTACACATTAATGAGCTCATCTCTCCCATAAATCAGATGGGAATTTCGTGCAAGGCATGAAGAGAGGGAAAAAGAGAGAGTTTTGAGGGAAAACCAAGAGAAAGGCATCAACTTTGGTCATACAATCAAGGTTCAAGGTGAGTTCTTGGCTCTAGATGTGTTCTTGCCTTGGTTTCTTTCTCTTTTATGGTTGAAAATATGTCTTCTCTCCCTTTTGATGGCTGGTCAAAATGGTTGATGAGTGGGGAAGGGAGTTTGGTTGTTAGATCTTGCTAGAACACCTCAAAGTATGGTAGATCCAAGGGGATCTATGTGAACATTGGAAGAATTACGTGCTGATTTGATGGCTTTTTCGAATTAGTTACTGTTCATATCTGGTTCTGAAATTTTGTATGATTAAAGTACACTCTATGAGCTTTAAATACATGGGTAGAACACTTTATTTGGATCTGTGTACGATTTATGGTGATTTTTCAAAATTAAGGTTTGAAATCTGGAAACAGTGTTGAACTTTTGGGAGATTGTCAATTTCCGTACAATTATGGTATGTTATGAGTAGAATTGGTTCCTGAAACTATTTTTATTTTAAATTTAACTTAATTATCTTTCAGTGAGACTTGGAAGCACTCAATTTGGAGTTTTCTAGATTTAATTATGAATTTTCAAAGTTGAGCAAAAATTCTGAAGATTCTGCGTGAACAGTACCCGCGAACCAAAATTTCCAGATTTGATATTCTTGAATCTAAAGCCATCTAAAGTGGTCCTAATTGATAGGAAATAGATCATAAGGATGTAAAATGATAAGATTTATATTAGAAAATTTAGAAAGAAAACCCTAAGACTAAGAGAAAGGGGTTGAGGTTCAAGAAAGATAGTCTTGAACTGTATGTAATCTAATGGTCCTAATGGATTGTGTCATCATTATGGTTATGTTTAGGACCTTTGAAACATCCAAGAGGATGTTTAGTGATGTTGACCGAATGCCCACATGGTTGGAAAGTCAAGGGAGTCAAAGGAAAAGTAAGAGGAAAGCTTGAGGTGCAAGGTAGTGAACTTACCCTTTATGTGCTTGATATGGTATGCTTATGTGTTGGTTTGTATTTGTTGTTTGAATGATGTTGTGACATGATATTGTTGCTGGAAATGCTGTTTTTAATATGTTCCCATGGCCATGCATTTTTATACCAAGCATAAAGCATGATGGCATGTCACTAGTTAACTTAAATTTATGAAAAACTACATACCATACACTAGCATCCATCTTGTGCATGTATGTGGTAGTGTTTGCTACTGAGATTCCCCCGAATCTCACCCCCTCCCTAACCAACCATTTAGGTCAAATCAATGATGGGCACTAAGGGCATGAGAAGCAAGGAGAAGAAGTGGAGAATTATTAATGCTAATGATTGATGTTATTATTCAATGTATAATTCTCCTATATTGTAAGTTATGTTATGAATGCCATCAATTCATGTATATGCTTAGGATGTTTATGGCATGAATGAAAGTATATGAGCATGAATGGGAAAAAGTAAGCCCATGTTAGGTATGTCCAAAGAAATAAAAAGATTAAAGTAAGGAGATATTAAAGGATAAAACGTAGGTCCTGAAGCAGTTAATTTCAAGCTTCAGTTTGACCTATCATATGAATGAGTTAAGCTACGGAATTTGGTACACTTATAATGCATATCCCAAGCTTTAAAATGAGTGGTAAATCACATCATTTGGATGTGTATACAATGAGATATGAATTTTCGAA